AGCATTTATAGAGTAAGTGGATTTATTGTGTTTGTACGTGCTGCATGTATTTGGAATGACCATGACCACTACAACCTTGGCTTCTTTAATAGTGTTTGGAGATTTATGGAACGCTTTGGCCTCTGGAAATCTAGATTTTTTTGGGAAATGTCCCACGTCACTACAGCTGTTCTCGCAGGAAATGCAATTGAAAATGCAGAGTATGCAGCCAATCAGAATGGTGCATGTAACCCCAACTGGGGAGTACTCTATACATATGTAGGAGCAAACCATTACTTTCTGGCTGCATCTTTCATGGCTCACGCAGTGGGTCACATTGTTAATTTAGAGCATGATAAACCTGGCTGTGTTTGTTTCCGAAGGAGCTCTTGTGTCATGAATGAATTTCCTGCGCTTCAGGATATGCTAAGCAATTGTTCCCATGATAGGATACTTACCTTTGTCAATGGCTGGGACCCTTGCTTTAGTCAATCCCGTACACCATATAACAACATAAATTATGCAGTTCCTCGTTGTGGAAATAAGATAGTGGATGAAGGTGAAAAATGTGACTGTGGTTCTTTTAAAGACTGTTTCTCTGATGAGTGTTGTGGAACAAATTGTCAGTTAACTCCGGGCAGCTCTTGTAATGCAGGAGATTGCTGTGATTCCTGTAAGTTTGCTCGCAGTGGGAAACTATGCAGAGACAAACTTGGTATTTGTGATCTTCCAGAATTCTGTAATGGAATGTCAGAGCACTGCCCACAAGATTTTTACATCATGGATGGAACTCCTTGTTCTCCACTAGCAGTTTGCATGTCAGGAAACTGTAGCGACCGTGATTTGCAGTGTCAAGCTCTTTTTGGACACAAAGTAAAGGATGCTTCACCAGCATGCTATAGAGAATTAAATTCCAGAGGTGACCGATTTGGAAACTGTGGGATTAGAGAGTTACATGGAGGAAGCCAACCTGTTGCATGTCAAAAGGAGGATGTTTTATGTGGACAGATTCACTGTGATCATGTGAAGTATGTTCCTGGTGGTGGTGAACACACTACCTTTCGTCACATAAAGGTATATGATGTTAAAGAAGAAAACTGCTTTGGGTACGATGCACACCATGGGACAGAACTTCCAGAAATGAGCTATGTAATGGATGGTGCAACCTGTGGCCCAGGGAAATTCTGCCAACATCAGAGATGTGTTTTTCATCAAACTTTGAATTTTCGATGTAACATTAGTTCATGTAACTTCAGAGGGGTGTGTAACAACAATGGCAACTGTCACTGTGTCCAAGGTTGGCAACCACCAGATTGTATACAAAGAGGAACAGGTGGTAGTATAAACAGTGGCCCTCCAATTACTGCTGGGAAAAGATTTAAAGCCAAAGTACATATCAGTATCAGCAGGCTAATAATGCTTGTAGGTACTCGCATCCTTCTTGTCTTGGCTTCGATTACGTCTGGTGCTATTTCAAAAGCAGTATTACGTCCACAAGAGCCCCTACGTCCACAAATGTCCCTACGTCCCCCCCCCCCGTTAATAAATAAATGATTTCATCCCAAACTCATTGGAGCCACGCAATGGACAAATCCATGTCAATTACCAGAAGAAGTTGTCAATGAAGTCTCTTGACTGTCATGTAACCATTCACAAATCTGAGAATTCCATCTTGAAATAAAATCACTGAGGACTTAGTATTGAATCTCTATGTTTAATTTTGATGTTTATAATGATTTATTTTAACTGTCTCTCTCATCTCCTCTCTGATTATTTCTCTGTGTGTACGTGTGAGTGTAGTTTCTTGTGGAGGCCAGACTCGGATCCCCAGGAGCTGGAGTTACAGGTAGTTATGGGTCACACAGCATGGGTGCTGGGAACCAGACTCAGGGTCTCTGCAAGAGCAGCACTCTTAACTGTTGTGTCAGCTCTCTAGCCTCTTAATGCCACATAATTTACCCCTTCTTAGGTTTGTTTTGATTTAAACTTTTCTCTCATCCTGTTTTATGGTGCTAAGCAGCACAGCCAAGAACCCAGGATCTTACTCAAGCCAAGTGAAAGTCCTGCTTTCTGCTTTACTGTACACAAACATTTGATCACATTCTTTATACTTCTACATGTACAATCTATCTTTCATGTTTTTTCATGAAGAGAAAGTACATATTTGTGATGTCCATTTTAAAGTTTTCTAGATGCTTCTATATTACCACTGTCATGATCTGTTTTCAGTTGTATTAGATCATTGTCTATTTTATTGTTAATATAAAATAAGTATAAAAAAGACATTTCTAAAGCATATGGATGCACGAGGAAAACAGTTTATTGCCTTTTTTTTGTGTTTGTTTTTCTCTTTACCTAGCACTCTCCCAAATAATTGAGACTGGGCTACTATATTTATTTAACAAGCTTTAAGTATACAAGAACTGTGCAGTGTTACTCTATCTAAATCTTTTAAACCAATCTGGCTACCTCCCAGCCAAAACCCAGAGATGCTTGCATTTGATGGCCTTCTCTGCTTGAGCTGTTTTCTCATGGTGTCTCCCCATGGCTAATCCTCACTTCCTCTGTCTCCTGCCCTGGCTGCCCTTGCTGGGAAGAAGTCCAGCCCTGTTTTCACTCCTGCTCAGCTACTGGCTGATCTGCTTGTTTATTGACCAATCAGGGAAGAATTGGGGAGCAATGTTCACAAAACACTGAGACTGTGGCATGAGATTCTCAGAATAAGGATTGCAACCAGATACGGTATCACAGAAATTAGTGTTTGAATTACACAGTACACAATAACATTATGCCTACTGAAAGAACCCTTCATAGTATAGATATCTGGAATTTCATTAGTGGTGCTGACCTTGTGATGTCAGAATGGGAAAACTCTTCAGTTTTTTCTCAAATATACAGTGATTACACCCAGCATTCTGAGATGGAATATGCATCACCAAAATTGATGCCAGAAGCTACCACAATGCTGGGGAGTTTTGGGTGGTGAATGCACACACTAGCTTCTACCATTGTCTTTAGGTTGTACAATGTCAAGAACTGTCCTTGCAGGGGAGTCTGTAACAACAGGCATCGCTATTGCCTATGTGGTTCAAAGCTAGCAACATATGATCAGAGAAGAGCAGGGGGCAATGAAGATGGGAACTGTCCACTCTATAGAGGACAGTTCTGTGGGTCAGGGTGTTCATGGTATAGATCAGGCTCTTGGTCTGCTGCCTAATAACTTGGTTCTTTTTATGATTTCAGTGCTTGCCTCTTGACCTTTCTAAAGCAAAAGCGGCTTCTTTGGTGGGAATGGGATTTAAAAGAGAATTTGAAGTAATTCTTTTTACTTACAAAAGAAAGCCACGGGCTGGAGAGATGGCTCAGTGGTTAAGAGCACTGACTGTTCTTCCAAAGGTCCTGAGTTCAATTTACCAGCATCCATATGGTGGCTCATAACCATCTATAATGAGATCTGAGTGACATTGTACTCACATACATAAAATAAATACATAAATATTTAAAAACCTGCCATATATACTAAAAACAAAACAAAACCATAGGAAGCCACATTATGAAGGAAATCTTGAAGTGTGGGAAACAGTCATCCATGATTCCTCTGATAATTTCATATTCTCCAGTGAGCTTTGAATTTTCATCTTGATATCAATTCTTGGTGCAATTAAAAAATAGACTTCTAGTTGAGGGCCCTGCTGTGCATAGGTGGAAGAAGAGAACCTTGACCTCATGAAGGCTGGATTCCCCAGGGGGTGGGAATTTTGAGGGTGGGGAGGTGGGAGTGGGGGGGGTAGATAGAGGTTACATCCACAGAGAAGAAGGAGGAGGGGGGAGGGGATTGGGGGTTCCGGGGTGGATGGGGGATGGGGTAAGGGGACAACATAGGAAATGTAAACAAAACATCCAATAAAAAAAAAATAGACTTCTGTGTTTTAAGTTCATAATTTCTAACGGTTGTTCTCTTTTCTTTCTGTTGTACTCTCATGTGCCATATTTCTATGCATGGCTGTGGTTTTCTTATGCCTGTATATGAGGCAGAGGTTCCAAAGTCACAAGGGGAAGGGCACACATTCTAAGAGGCCAGCTTTCCATGTTTCCAGAAATGCCTGCCAAAGTTTGAATTTCAAAAGTATTAGCATGCATCAATATTAACATTGTCATGGTTCTTAAACCTGATGGTATTCGATTTTTCTACTTGTACTTTTTACTGTTAGTATGAAACTGCTAAGCACTAGAACATGAATATGCCAGAGATGTAGGTAGAAACATACAAGATTTTGTGTTCTAGGCATCTGGAATTTTGCAGTGGCTCAGAGCCTTGCTATGTAACTCTATGCAATCTATGCACCAGTGTTTGAGGACTATATTCAATATTCCAAGATGTAATATACTTTGTCCACATGTTCCAAAACTGAACCCAGTGAATCAGAAATTGATGGAACATTCTAGGGACTGAATATACTTCTAGAAGCTTCTATCTTCTCATTTTCATTCTTGGATTGTGCTAAATGTGATCTATTCTATGTTCTATGTAGAGCCAGCTGGGATTGGGACCTGGCTCCCTCATTTAGTTATACATTTACCAGCTTTCTGTTTTTGATGGTTTCCTTCACTGCCTAAGGTTGGCTGTCTTAGAACTTGCTCTGTAGACCAGACTGGTCTTGATCTCAGAGAACCATCTCTCTAGTATGTTAAATTTTAGTCTTAACATTATAGATGTTTGTAGTCTAAGGAGGAAGAGAAAATGTAGAAGACTGAGATTCTCCTGAAGAGAAGAGGGACAAAAGAGAGTTTTGGAGGTATGCCACAGTGTAAGATATGAGATATTTTGGGACCCCATGATTTTGTAAGCTGTAGGAAGAGTTTCATCAGGGGACAAGACAAAGTGGGCGGTTCAGACAAGCTTTGGTGAGTTGTCAGAGCTCTGGCATCAGCAGCGGGTGGGAGAGGGTTCCAAGAGCTTTAAGGGAGATAAAACTTTCTGTCTGTCTGCTGTCCATCTGTTTCTCTCTCTCTCTCTCTCTCTCTCTCTCTCTCTCTCTCTCTCTCTCTCTCTCTCTCTCTCT